AAGTACTTTGAAGTAAAAAAAAAGTTATTACCTATTCAAGAAAGGTTGCTCACGAAATTCTTTCTCAATTCTAGGACTCCTCCGAGGAGTCATTTGAGTCATTCGAGTCGTTCGAGTCAGGAGAAGCCAAGTACGACTTCAGTTATGCCGTTAAGCACGAAGACTCCGGCAACGACTTCGGACACCAGGAAGCCCGTGACGGTGAAGACACTCAGGGATCCTACTACGTGAGGCTTCCCGACACCCGTCTGCAGAACGTCAAGTACTTCGTGGACGGCGACGACGGCTACGTGGCCGAGGTCAACTACGAGGGCGAGGCTCGTTTCCCCGACTCGTCCGAGTCCGCTTCCTTCGAGTCCCGGGAGTACAGGCCACCAAGGCCAGCCTACACCTATGACTCCGACGAGTCTAAGTAAATTCTCAGATAATTAATCAGTGATTCGTTATGATGGACAAGAATTTGGATGTAAACTATTTATTGCATATTTATTGGAGAAAACAATGAAAGCACTAGTAAAAGTATGTTTTTTTCAATCAATACCAAAGAGTTACTAATCTGAGATGGAACACAAACACACTACTGGCACCGATTTTTACCTAGTTTAAAGGTCAACGAATAGCGCCTAACTCCTCGTCTCAACTGCTTTCAATGAACCTTACACAAAAGATACAATACTTTAAAATGTAATCAACTATCATTAGTCATAATAGTGAGCGTTAAAATACAGTAAGAATACACATACCAAGTTATTTTCGTGACTTTTCGAAGCCTTAAATTCTACAGAAACTATTTTGTAATTTCCTTGAGAAACGTCGTTGGGATATAACAACGTTAACGTTAACGAAATAACATTTTTAACGAACTTTAGGAAGAAACAGTTTTAATGAAATTGATAACCTTAGCATAGGTTTGTTACGGCCTGAAAGAAATTCTCCGAAAAAAAAAATGAAAAAACTTCAATTCTGGATTTATTAATATTTACAGCTCTTATGATCCTCGTAGTAGTCACAGATAAGAATTTGAACATATCCCTATTTTTTCTTCGAGAAATGCTCGTGCATATTAATATAATTGCCTAACACAGGCTTTTATTGCAATACATTTTCCAGCATCCTCTTATATTCACTTCTTACTCATTATGTGTGTCCGTAGAATTGAGGTTAGCTATTTCTCAATCGATATGCACACACGCATATCTATATATTTATATATATGTGTATATATAAATACATATTTATATTCATATATTCAAATATACTTTAGTACTTTTGACCGGATTTGAACTGCTCTATGAATTTCTATCGAGTACCCACGAGTGTGTTTAAAGCTTCGCTATCCTTACTCACAAAACCAACTTACTTTTGTATAGAAAATGTTCATTTTTATCGAGTGAAACCTCATACAAGTTGAAATTTGGGGCTCTGTGAAAAAGCTAATGTTGTAGTAATAGTTTCACTATTTTGAATATGATTATCGCATTAGATTGTCGTATATTGTACATATAGATTGCATTTCGGTGTATCCTTTCTAAACCAAGGATTCGACAAACCTTTTGGCTACGGGGCAACACTGACTCTTAAGATTTGACAGGCGGGCCAAGCCAGCTCCAGATGGATACATATAACTCAACCGGGAAGTGTAATCCTCCCTTCAGACTGAACTACAGTTCTTCAGCCAACCAGGACTGTGATATTCTTTTTATATACTATTTATCTTAATGAGATACTAAAGTAAAATATTATTGATAATATCAATAATAGTAGAAGAATGTGGTAATCTTGTTTGTATGAATATATACAAACATACACACACACACACACACACACACACACACACACACACACACACAAACACACACACACATATATATATTAACCTGTGTACATATATATATATATATATATATATATATATATATATATATATATATATATATATGTATATATATATATATATATATATATATATATATATATATATATATATATATATAATTATATATATATATATATATATATATATATATATATATATATATATATATATATATATATATATATATATTATATATATATATATATATATATATATATATATATATATATATATATATGTATTACATGTATATAATTATCTGTCTATGTATATATATATATATATATATATATATATATATATATATATATATATATATTATATATATATATATATATACTATATATGTACATTTCCATATCTAACTTAGAACACCCTAAATACAAAGCATGAGACTGACCTTGACAATGTCCATCTTGTCGATATGAAACTCCATGGACCAAGTATTGCATACAGAACTCGACGTATAAAAACGTGTCCCAGTTGATAATTGTATTCGTCAGGGTATATAAGGACACTGTCAGAGACTTCAGCATTCATTCCTTGAGAAGCAAGAACCATGAACACTAAGGTACGGAAAAGCCTTCTAAGAAAATTAAGATAATGATAACTGTAATATGATAA